TATTCAGATCGCAATGTTAGCAAATTTTATAGCATGCATAGCAAATTCAGATGCAAGGTTAGAAATAATATTAGCAGCAGCATGCATAGCAAGTCATATTATAGTTGTTGCTAATATAGCAGTGGCAGCAGAAAGCGCTTTACTGTAGTTGCATTACATTTTAGTGATAACTCATGGAGGGCAAGTTATCTCTTTAAAGTGCAATAGGCATTTATTACTTTGCTTATTCAACAGGGCTTACAGCAGGTTTCGTGCAGCAGCAGTAGAGTATGCTTCGCAAATTCTGATCAAATATTACAACCGCAACAGCTCACACAGTAAATTTCTACTACAACATTGTGAATATCATTAACAGCAACAGCATGTACTTCAACACAGTATTTAAATGTTATTATGAATATTATCAATAGCAACAGTAGCAGAAGTTTTTTTGCGTTGGCCGTACATTGCGGACAGCTTTACCTATCGTAACGGGTCTATTGACTTTGTCATGTTGTGCCACTCGCGTCTGGCATTCGCCTAGCTACTTATATGATTTTTCTCAGCAGCAGCATGCACAGCATTTCTATGTTGCGAATTTTAATTTGGACACAATTAATATAAAAGCAGACAACTGCATTTAAATAAAGTCACTGTAGTGTCTTGCTCAAGACCATCTTGGAACGAGCCATGCATTTAGCAATGATGTGTTCATACAATGCAAACATTATTGTTCTTAAAGGGGTCATATGATGCGATTTTCAATTTTTCCTTTCTCTTTGGAGTGTTACAAGCTCTTGGTGCATAAAGAAGATCTGTAAAGTTGCAAACACTAAAGTCTCAAAACCAAAGATATATTCTTTATAAAAGTTAAGAGATAACCACGCCTACCTAAAACGGCTCGTTCTAACACGCCCCCACATACCTACGTCACGATCTGGGAAGATTTGCATAAAGCCGCCCAAATGTTCACGCAAAGAAAAAAGGCGTAACTTTTATTCTCACTGTAGTATTGTTGACGCTGCAGCCATGTCCTGAA